CTATAAATATCGTAATTAGGAATTTTTAGTTTATGTGTACAGCGTAAATGCGTTTCATTAAGCTTAACTACGTCTAAATTATTATTAGAAATATAATCTCTGAGTTCTAGTCAGAGTCGTAGCTAGGGTTTTCAGCGCCCAGGGGCAACTGAAGATTTCGCGCCCCCTACTGCTTGCCAAGAATGGAAAACATTTAATTCTAAAATGTCGTAACATCAATTTGGCGCCCCTTGGATTCTGCGCCCGGGGACAGATGTCCCCCCTTGCCCCCCTCTAGCTACGCCCCTGGTTCTAGTAGTTGGTGGTACATTCCGTTGCAATTGTAGAACATAAATTTTGCGTAAGAAATCTGTTTTAAATTATTGGTATATTTATTTCCGTTGTAATTAATCATGTTCGTGATTAATGAAAAGCCTTACAGCCTCGAGGGCGATGTTCAATCTGCTTGAAGAATCTTTTGCTATTTTACTTTGCAGATACATATCGTGTAAATTTATGATAAAATCTTTTAATTCGTCAAAACTTTCTTCTTTAACTTCATTATTCTTAAAATTATTAGTAGTACTTTTAGTAAAAATTTTTTTTTTTTTTTTTGGTTGTTTTGAGAGGTTGCAGCAGCAGCGGCATAGGATTGATTGGTTTGAGGAGTCATTTCCTGGTTGATTCCTTATTTGTTGTCATTAACTATTTCCTGATTTGTTGTCAGTAACTGTAGTGCGATTTTGGTCAATTTTTGGAGTTAAATCTTGGTTTTTGCTGGTATTAGAATTTTTAAATTTATTATCATCGATCCCTGGCCTCTTGGGACATTCCTCGCTGCATGCGGGATGAGATCCATGACATAGGATACATGTAGGAACAAAATCTTTCTTAAGTCTGTTTGGGCATTCTTTAGATTTGTGAGATTCAAGACATCTCTTGGCCAAATCTTGGCGGGTTATGGCAGGCTCTTTGAGAGTGACCGTACCTCTGGCAGTTAAAAACACTGCGTAGGTCCCGGTCTTACTCTTATAACCTCTTATTCAAACATATCCATAATTTTTCTGACGTGAAATATCTTTTTACCCTCCTTTGTCCTGGGCACTTCAGCGTAGAAAACAGGGAGGAATACAGTGGCGCCATCTCTGGTCCGTTGTAGTTGTCTAACTTTAATAACTGGAATTTGTTGTGATTTGAGATCTTCTTTTACTTCGTCTGCTGTTATGTCATCAGATAATCCTTTTATTATGGCGCGAACGCATTTATCAGAATTTAACAAATAAGTGTGGAATGGTATAGTTTTTTTTTTAAGGTAATCCTGTATTTTCCTGTAATCGTCTGAGTCGTAAACTTTTAAGACTAAATTGTCTTCTTCTTTTTTGGCATCTACTTTATCTACTACTTTTAAAACTTCCTTAATTAGTTTGCGTAAATCTTTCCAATTTATGTTTTTTGTAATTACTAGTGGTGGGATTTTCCCGGCATATTTACTTGGTTTTACAAAAGGCGCATCATTAGTGTCAGCCTCATCCATTTTTTCATTTTCTGTGGGGTTATCAAGATTTTGATCTATGCTTAGTGCATTAAATTGATTGCTAACCTGTGTAGGAGGGAGGTTATCATCTGAGTCAGATAGCTTTCACGCTCTTTTATTTCGAGGTGCTGGAGACCATTTATCTTTTTCGCCATTAATTATTGGTACATTTTCAGTAATAGCATCCATTGCAGCTTGTTTATTTGCGAGAAGCGTAAGAACTAAGGTTTCAGATTGAGTACATAGGGATTCTAAACTTTTTAACATTTTAGTTTCATCTTCCGAGGGGTTCTCAGGGAATTTAGATTTGAAAATTTCCATATCCTTTCTAAGATTGTAAAGCGTTTCCATTTCTTTAAAATAGTCTATGTCCATAGCCATGTCGTCAATTGTTAGGTAAGCAAAAGAAGTTATATATATATATATATATATATATATAACATTCGTAAAGAAAATTAAGAGTCAATAGATCGTAAATACCATTTCAGCTAGCGTATAACAATAAGAAGCAAAAGAACGTACTCACTCAATATTCAAGTAGAACAGCCGTTATCCAACGTCATATTCTATTCGATATTATAACTCAGAATATATACATGACATTCAGAATTCTAATTGTTTATATGTCATATTATAACTCAGAATTTCATATTATAACTCAGAATGCACAAAATTTATATCATTTAAAGAATTATCTAATCGTTGCCACATGTTCTATTCAAATACTATAACAAAGCTAGAACGATGTATAAAAGAAATTAAGCAAACAAAACGAAAAAGAAACAGTTTTTCACAGACGATTGAGTATTTCTCATTCAATTAATTCAGTTTTCACTTCGCGACAAGGCACAAATACATAAAAACTCAAAATATCTGTATTAAAAATTACGAAGTAAGTCTTAAATACTTATTTCCTCGAAAAAATTCCAGAAAGGATTAAGCATGATTTAATTCGCAATAATTAATGAAGGCGTTATTTTTGTGTTGCGAAGCTTAGTCTCTCTAGATTGGCAACAAATCTACAATTCTGCTGTTTCAAATGTAAACAAATATGTCCGCCATGTTATTTAAAACTTAACCGCACTTAAACAGCTTTTAAATTGTTGATAATTGTAAGTATTGCTTCCAGAATTACGAAAGGCATAAAAACTTTAACCGGAAGATAAAAACAACATAATTCAATCATTTTTAAAACAAAAAATGTACAATTTACAAACATATAAGAGTAAAGAAACTGAGATCACTGAGCCGGGTAACAGAGTGGATATACACTGGTGTGCAAAAATTAAGGACGAGACGGTTTTTTCAATATAACTTTGTACAAAAGCTTTCCAAATCAACACATTTAATACCGTAAGATCCCCAATACGTAAGGACATGAGTAATGTAAGCAACACTTACTAAAAGAGAAATCAGAGGGATAAAAAGAAGCTTTATTGAAAAAGTAGCATGGAGCGCAATGCGACTGAAGGCCGAAACAAGCCTGTGATGGGTGTCCAGCAAGAAACATCCGGTCTTTAATAGGGGATATGATCTCCCCTGACTGCTAGGCAGGTTTCACAGCGTCTGCCCATGCTGAGAATGAGGGTGTCAATGAGTTGTTGAGGCATTGCTGCCCATTCGTCTTGCAGCGCCAATCGAAGCTCAGGAACCGTTACTGGTGGTAAGGTACGAGCTGCCAAGCGTCTGCCTAGAAAATCCCATACATGCTCGATGGGATTGAGATAAGGAGATCGTGCCGGCCAATCCATTCCTTCAATATCCTCACTCTCTAAGAGCTGTTCGGCAGCTACTGTGCAATGACATGGTGCATTGTCGTCCATGAAAAGGAACTGCGGACCCATAACGCCTCTTAAAAAGACGCACATATGGAAGAAGAATCTCGTTACAATAACAGGTCCCGTTGACTGAACCTGCGTCGAAGATGTGAAGGTCTGTACGACTACCAAGCATGATGCCTCCCCAAACGAGAACACCGCCACCTCCATACCTGTCCCTTTCAATGATGTTCGAGGGATGATTGCGGCTTCCCCGCTCTCTCCAGATGAGTATGCGATAAGAATCGTTACTCAGACTGAATCTGCTCTCATCTGTATAGAGTACTCGTCCCCATTCGTTGTCTTTCCAATTCCGGTGTTCCCGGCACCACAGAGAACGCCTTCTCTGATGGGCAGGCGTTAGAGGTACACACCGTACAGGGCGTCGTGCAAACAGACCACCACCGTTCAGTCTTCTGGCCACGGTAAAACGCGATATCGGTCGTCTAGTCGCATGTGTGGTGCGTCTAGCGATTTCTCCCTCCTGTTTCTTCTGGCCTGTAAGGAAATATACTGGTCGTCTGCGGGTGTGGTTCCTCGTGGACGACCACTACTAAACCCCCGGATAGCTGTTCCTGTAGTTTGAAATTGTCTCCAAAGTCGTGAAACGATGCTGTGAGCAATTCCGAACTCTGCAGCCAAACTTGTCCCACTGCGGCCTTCCTCCAACTTCCCAATGATTCGACCTCGGGTAAAAGCATCCAGATGTCATTTAACAGATTGATTATTCGCCATTTCTCGCTGAGGCAGCAACTCGGTGTGATTTAACTGCTATACGGCGTGCAATCTCTTTGCCAGAAATACTGATCTTACACCGACAACATCATGCTTTATACTACTCAGACACTCTCCCATTACGTCTACCTGCATATCTGCGCATGTTTTTCCGTACATCACCTTACTTAATCTCCTGATTGGTCTTTCTGTCCGCTCTGCCTCTTCGTTCAGCTGATATGCTAATTTTTCGACTTCGTCCTTAATTTTTGCACACCAGTGTATTTATAAATATATTTATATACGTTTGGCGCGGCCGATTGGAACCAAAATACGAGGTGCACATCTACATGTTATAGTAGTCTTATATACAAAATTTCAACGTTCTGAGGCTACTCGTTTTTGAGTTATGCGAGATACGTACGTACGTTCGTACAGACGCCACGAAAAATTCTCTTCAGAATTCATTTTAAAGCAGTTTTTTAGTTTTTTTGGAGGAAAAGAGTCTTTTATTCTGTCTGTACGTATAGATATCACGCAAAAACATTGTTAAATTGCATTCGAAAGCGGTCAAAGTGGATATTTTCGTTGAAATATGCTGCCTGAAGCTTTTCGCGATTACGATACTTCCTTTTTACTTCGTACAAGGAAGTAAAAAGTACACGTTTGAGAAACACTCCTGTTGTACAGAAACTAAACTCTGTTTTTAAACTAAAAGCCATACGAACATTTTTTATTGAAGTGTTTAATCTTTGTACAAAAATTATTCTAAAATAGACCATTTTTTTAACGAGGCATCAGATTATTTTAGAGCTAAAATGTGTTTGCATTCAAAGATTTTATTATTTATAAAATTATCCCCCCCATCAGAGATTTTATTTGTGATTAAAACATTTTAGATCATGATTAATTTCATGTTTTCCAAAAAATATTTAGAATGTGGTGTTTTCTTTCAGGTACCACCTGGAAAACGGATACGAGTGACTTTCAGTGAGACTTTCGACATTCGTTCTTATGAACCTTTATGCGTCCAAGATTACTTGGCGGTTAGCCTAACCGGAGATTTTAAGTCTCATGTTAAAAGGTAATTTGTTTCTCATTTGTCACATGTTAAATGGGAAGCAAATATTATTTATTATACTTTCAAATGCCTTTAGAAGAAGGCAAATTAATGTTGCTACAGCTAATACTAGTTGTTTAAAACAGACTGCACTTGCGCAACTAAACTAGCATTTGATCGTAGATCCATAGCTCCAGTTTAAGAAACAAACAGATAAGCTAGACGTCTGTACTACGACAATTCTGGCTAATTCACAACTTTTAGTAAAAATATACAAAATTAAACTTTGTTATGGTTCCCGAAAAAAAATTCAATAGGGAAGTTTTCATAAACGAGATAGCGGAACGAAATAAAATACCATACTCATAAGTTCATAATTATCAAATATATTACTAATTAAAATTTTCATTGGGAATTAGACATCATAAACAGATAGGTATTATACATATGCATGCAATTAAAAATACAAACTTTCAACAGATACCTTTTACATTTGAAAATCGAGAAAATTTGTATGCAAGTTTCTGCTTCCCATTTGAAGAGATATTTAATTTCTAAGATTTTTTTTTTTTTTTTTTTTGTTGTTGTTCGTGAAATAAATGGAAATATATATTTTTACCTTTGTCTTCATCGCACAGAAATGATAAGTAATATAATTTTAGCACTTTTCCCAGAACTTATTATTCGTGTTCTACTTTATTTCATACAATACATCTTTAGCTGAGACAACTCGTCAACTAGAATTTTGTACACAGATGTCATATGTAAAAATTAAAATTTTTTGTATTTTCACTGAAAGTATTTATGTGGCCAAAATTATCATAGCTTTAAAGCTTATTCATTTTATTACTGATCTTAAACTATTAACTTACAACCAGTTATTCAAGAGCTATTTAGCGGGGGAATGAATTTGAAACATCTAAAAGTAAATGAATATACCAACTTCAGAATTTTCAGGTCCGGAGAGAAAAAAATACTTTAATTAACTTCATATAAAAATAACATTTCACTTTTATTCTTTTACAGATACTGTCATGGTAAAAGACCTGTTGCTATAATATCTTCGGGTAATTTTCTACTTTTTATGTTTCGTACCGATTGCTGCTTTGAAGGCAAAGGATTCAGTGCATTCTACGAGATGGTGGACGAAGGTATACTTTAAATTTTTGATAAAAAGATGGAAGGACAATATTAATATCCAAAAAATTTTTGTGTAAATATGTTCTATTACAATGACACGAGATTAGTTTCAAGGACTTTGAGGTGACGTAAAATGCGATAGTATGACAAATGATGGCGTTAACAATGATCTCGAACTCAAACTGCACGCAGGTAAAAGGCAAGGTGTGAAAGTAACTGACAGGCAGCAATAGAAATAAAAAAGTTACAAAACACATTTTTTAAAACTAAATTTTAAAAAATGCTAGACATTGTTAAAATATAAATATAAATGACAAAAAGAATCAAATTTATGCTTATTTTTAGCCTGAAATCTAAATTCAAACATATTGAATGCCAAATATTAAAATTTTCAGAATGCCTTCATTCAGATAATTGCAACATATTAAAGTAACAACTAAATAACTTACTTTTAATTTAAACTGGAAAGAAATATACGAAAACGTCCAAGAGAGACAAAACTTGAAAATGAATAATGATAACCTATTATCTTTCTTTTATTTATTACATTTTTCAATGAAGCATACAGAAAAAATACATATTCGTAATCAAATAATTATAAACGTTTTTGTTTCTTACTGAACCTTTCATCTACATCACCTCATGGCATTTCAATTTCCATAAAGTGTGTAACCTTGGAAGAAAACTGCTAGAAAGTATCTTCATCACTAATTTGAAGAAAACCATCGGCACTCTGTTTCTTTTCGTAGACTTATTATTAATTTTTAACTATTAAAAAAAAAAACTGTTGGCATGCAAATGTACTCCCAAACAAAGCGATTTCCTTATTGCAAAATTCGTAACTGAGGATATTTATTTTTTGACAAGTAGTAATAAAAGTTCAGCAAATTTGTATCTTCATATTTTTGAATAAAATTTATATCACAATAGAAATTAATTAGTTACATTTCTAGATTTTTCGGATAATTATTCATGTTCGTTTTTAGTAATGAAGATGATGTAAAATTGGATTCGATGTAAAATCTTAAAATTTTTCTTCGAATTGTTGTCATATTAATGTTAATAAATTAATGAACATTAGGGAAAATGTATTCGCGGACCGCATGCTACCCGCGGGACGACTAGCATAAAAGACAGAAACATAATGGTGGTGTAATAGACGGAAAAAAATAAGATCATGTAAATTTGAGAGGAGGAAGAGGATAAATAGAAGACAATAAAAAATATTTCTTCTGCGTGTTTTTCTCAAGGAGCTTTTATAACGCAAACTGTTTACATGTTTCGAATTTACTGTCCCCCCCCCCATTTTTCATGCTAATTGAATAAAAATAAATTAATTTAAAGACATCGAAGACCAAAATGTTTACACCTTTTATGAAATAAAATATGATCTGTGAATTTATTATTACTTTCTTTCTGACCTGAACTTTTACTCAATAAAAATAGCTAATAAATTTACCTACTAGAATCAATTTTTTATTATTCTTTTTTCATTAATGTACGATTCTGTTTACAATTATTCACAGGTTTCCAGGAATTTAACATTTCATTTTAAGATTTTCCTTAATAAACATTTCTCCGAGTATATTAAAACATTTAATACAGATTATACTCTTTTGTTCATCGAATCTGTGCAGATTAAATAAAAATAATACATAAAAATTATTATTCTGTCTATTCTTTTTCTGTTGTAAAAACGTAAAAACTGAATTGATTTTTTTTTGGTGGGTTCACAGCCATACAGGAAATAACATTTCTGCTTATTTATTTTTAATTTATGACAATACAAACTAATTTATTACAGAAAATGAAGCATGATAAATTCATACTTTTTAAAATAAATCTCTCAAACTATAATTTCTAGCAAAATTGAATCAAATTTAATATAGAATTAACTTATTTCTCACAAAAGTCGGTTTAGTTGCTTATAAAATATTATAATTTGATTCTTTAAATGGCATATGAAAAAGTATGACTTAAATAGTACTGCCTGTGATTTAATTCTACCGAAATTATGTCAGTATTTCTTTTAAACCTATAGGGACTAATACATTCATTAATTTCAAGGTAACAAAGGCAGTTATTAGTAAGTTATTGACAAATAATAGATATATACATGTGCCTATTAGTATAAAAATAGTGCTCAAAATTTGTAGCAGATTAATAACATCAAATGTTATGCGAACATAGGAAAAGCATTGCTGAAGCTTTAGAATTACTGAAAATAGAGTACGATGAAGAAGCATGACAAAAAGCTAATATGTTTATGTGGCATAAAAGAATTAGAAATGGATGGGAAGATGTGATGGATTATCTCAGAAGCGGCACCCAAAATCAACAATAAAGGACTTCAGTTTCTTAGCATGGAAGATGAGATGGGATCCAACAA